TGCTCATTAAATTGTCCCCTTTGGCCAGAACCAAGTCTAGAATTGCCTTGCCCCTGGTTGGCCCATAGATTTCCTGAGCTAGATAGAGCTTCTCAATGCAAGTGAGGAAGCTTTGTAAGTGACCAGATCTAGCTGAGTGCTCATGCCATGAGATCCCTGGGTAACTGAAGTCACCCATGACAACCAAGCTTCAAGAGCATGCAGCCTCTGCCAGTTCTCAAGAGAATTCCCAGGCAAGCTCTTCCTCTTGGTTTGCAGGTCTGTACTAAACTCCTATGGTCAATTCCCTTTCCCATCCTCTCCCGTATCATGACCCAGAAGGTTTCAAGTCACCCTTCCTTGTTTCCAATCTTCACTTCTAGGGAGGTGTAATGGTCCTTCACATAGAAAGCAACTCTTCCACCCTTCTTTCCAATATGATCCTTCCTATACAGGGTGTACCCCCTATGCCTGTGGTCCAGTCATAGGTGGAGTCTCTTCAGGTCTCCATAAGAGGTCATATTGGTTGTTGGTTAGCAGGGCCAGTTCCTCCTGCTTGTTTCCCATGTTTCTGGCATTAGTGTACAGGCAATTAAGCCTGCCATTGGAGGCCCTAGGCTTCCTGGAGAGCTGTGGAATAACCTGTCCATTGGCCAGTGTCGAAGTATGTTTTCTAGTGTACTGTGGGGTGATGGCTTCAAGGTTGCCATTTCTCGGGCTTGTGCTAGTAGTTGATAGCCCATCCCCCAGTGATCTCAGTTTAAAGCCCTATCCAGTAGGTCTGCCATTCTAGCCCAGAAGAGCTTTTTCTCAGCATGAGATTACTGAGGTTTGAGGAGATAAGCAAATAAGGTAAGTAGATAAGCCAGGGTCAGGTTTGTCCCTGCCGGGATGATCCCTCACCCCTACTGCCCAGCCCTTACATGTAAGGAGGTAAGCATTGTAATATATAAATTTGTTTTTTAATTGGTGCCACTCAATTCACAAAACTTATGGAGGGGTGCTTCAAGTCCAATGAGGAGTGCCTGGAGTCCAGTAAGGGGTGATTTACATAAGCTGAATAATAAAAAAAATAGCCAAAAAACATTAGTTGGAATTCTTGAAAGGTAGCTTGCATCTGAGGCCTGTTCCTTTTTTTGTAAATAAGATAGTTGACCTGATGGGATGTTAGTTCTACCTCTCTCTATATCAGCTATCTCAGTAAAAATCAGTTGTTCTGGTTCATTTGTCTGCTATACCCCTAGAGATGGGCAACACAAAGGGCACTTTTACACAGGTTCCAGGGCTGGGGGGGAGGCAGCACTTTAAATAAAAGGGCTCCAAGAGTGTCTATATCAGTGTCCCTGCACTTAAAAATGGTGGCGGAGGCATTTGAACTAAAGCTCATTTAATAAACTTTAGTTCAAGTGCCCCCACTGCCCTTTTTAAGCATGGGGTCTCTGATACACAAGATGCAGGAGGCTACTGGGGTGCAGCAATTGCCACGCTCCAGCAGCCTCAATTAATCAAGTCTGCTCCAACACGCTGGAATTCTAGTATGTTGGAACAGCCTTCATGTTCATGCATAGGTGCCCAAAGAAGCCACAACATTGCTTTATAGTCTTGCATTGCTGTTCTCTTGGAGCCATATGCTGCTAGAAATTAATTACAGTGCTCCTGATGATGCTCTAAATTGAGCAGTGACCAAAGTGGCCCAGAGAGATGCAGTATTAGGAAATGCAAAGGTGACGCACTATCTTTAACTCATCTTCAAAAAGTACAACCCTTATGAGGAAAGACTGAGGATTATGAGGAAAGGCTGAGGGACCTGCTCCTCTTTAGCCTAAAGAAGAGAAGGTTGAGAGGGGACTTGATAGCGGCTTACCATTATATCAGAGGAGTGCATCAGGAGCTCGGTGAACAATTGTTCACTAGGGCACCCCTGGGGTAAACCAGAAGCAATGAATATAAACTCCTGGAAGGCCACTTCAGGCTGAATACCAGGAAAAACTCCTTCACAGTCAGGGTTACCAGACTGTGGAATAAACTCCCTCCAGAGGTGGTGCAGTCCCCTACCCTTGAGGTTTTCAAGAGAAGACTGGACAGTCACCTTGCTGGGGTCACTTGACCCCAGTTGTCTTCCTGCCTAGAGCAGGGGGGCTGGACCTGATGATCTGCAAGTTCTCTTCCAGCCCCTAACAATCTATGAATCTATAACCTGAGGTAGAGAGGAATTACACAAGGAACACTACACATTGGGTATCTAGCCTTAGTCTTTCCCAGCATGTTCTGCCAATTCTGCCCTACCCATTCCCCACTTTGGAAATGTAGTCCCTGGAGAAAGCAATCCCTATCTGCTCTGAGAACAAGGACTGAAACTTTCCAGATCTTGCACAAACTTAATAAAAATAAGGTAGGACCATTCTGTTCTCTCTTCTTCAGCTACACACACCACAGTGATGGATGTTTTGTCTTCATGATAGCACAGAGTAAACTAAGCATAAAACAGGATCTAATCAGAATCTTTAAGCTGCCTCTGCCTTGTACCTGAGAAATGAATGCTTATTTTTAAGGATAAATTTTGGAAGGAGCTTAAGTATGGCTTAAATATCACACAGCTGTAAGCTATTTTTCATCTTCTCTCTCAGGTATCCAGCTGGCTGATATCTGCATCTAATGGAAAAGTCTTTACCCTCCTGCAGTTCAAAGAACTGGATATTGTTAGGACTTCCCTAAATTTAGACTGAGATCTTTCATATAAAATGTAGTGGTATTATTCTAAAAAACAGGTATGAGATGACTGGTGTTTGTTTTATACGGTAAAAAAGACAAACGATTATATTTTGCTTATTTCAAAGAGGCTTGTTTTATAATTTTATAATATTTTTTATTATAATTTTCATAATAATTCACATATTGACAGAGGAAAAAGTGGTGAAAATCATCTTCCCAGTTAAAGAATGAACAAACATGCATTATATTATTACCTTCTTGTTGTGAGGTATTAAATTAACTCTGGACAGCAAAATTTCCCCTATGCATCCTACTGCCATCATTAGAATATGAATTACAAATGTGTAGAGATACCTAAAACTATTCTCCTAAGTGTTCTCCAGATTTCAATAATTCATTTTCTGCAGTTTTTCGATATAAAGACCTAATTTTCAGATAACATATACATTTCTCTCAGCACTAACCCCTATAAAACCTTCAACTACGAGTGCATCTATATGAAATACTTACTGGGGGGTTATCTAATTAGCTTTGCAGTAAAGCGTCTCTGTCTACATAAGCAATGCTATTAGGCTGGAGTAAACTAATTAATTCCGCCATACTGCTCAACACAAATATTATTCTGCAGCGAAGTAACTCCACTGTAGAATAGTACCTGTGTTGGGCAGTACTATCATATGGTAGAATTATGTAGTCCACCAAACCACATGGTCAAAGTACAGACACTTAAAAAGCCCGAGGCTGAATCAATTCAGTCTTTGCAGGTTACTCTAAACTGCAGAGATTAAACTGAGAAGCAAGTAAACAAACATTCACTTTTGATTCAGGAAATCTAGCCACATGCCTGCAGTGGCTCAAGCCAGAAGCCAAGGGAGGAGGGGTGCTGGAGCACACCTCCCAGCCTTCCAGCCACTGCCAAAGGGAAAGGACTGAAGTCCAAGGCTTTTCCCCACTCCCTGCTCAAGCGGAGGGGGCATAGCCAGGTGGCTGTCAGTGGGGACAGCCAGGCGCATGCCACTGTTCTGGTGCTTTAGGTGGGGCTAGAACTGGTGGAGCAAGTCCCCGAAGGTGGCTACCTGTGGCTTTTCTTATACTTAAAACAAAGCTGCTATTCATTGTTCAGTTCCCACTCATTGAGACCCGGCTGCCACTCTCCCTGGCTAGCCTCCAGTGTGTTTCTTACCCAACCTGGGTGTTTGTCCTGGTCTCTAGCCGCAGATACAGCCCTTAGGCTCTTCTCAGTTTCATCTCCCTGCTCCCAGGGACTCTTCAGAAGCCTGCCTCCTGGCTTTCCTTGCCTGCCTTCAGCGTTCTCCCCCACACTGTTCTTTTCCCCTCCAGGCCATGCTTCTTCACACCCTCCTTTCCCCGGCTCCAGGGTGTTGGGGTTTTTTTTCACTTTGCCCCGGCCCCTAGGCATTCCCCACGTCCCTGCATTTCCCAACGTCTCTCTCTGGCTCAGGGTTTCTTCATGCTGAGCTCCATCAGCTCAGCATGAACTGACACTCACTCCAGAACAGCCTCTTCCTCCCTGCCACCTCCCGGCTTCCTGATGCAAGTCCAGGAGAGACTGGTTTCCTTGCAAGGAAAACAGACTCCAGCCTTTGCTCTGCTTCACATAAATGTATACATTAATGCTTTTTAAGAATATTGATACAGCTAAAGATGTTGCAAGAAGGCATTCTAAAATTAAAATAACTAATTACACGGTGAGGATGTTATGTTATTAATAAAGGCAAACTTGAAAAACTATATATGGCCTTTAATTGGCCCCTAAATTGACTAAAAGTTGTGAGCCAGTCTGTATTTAGAATGGTTATGAAGCAGCAAATATGATCGTATCTGAACAACAATCAAGAAGGGAAATTGTGCATGCAAATGAAGCAATGACATAAGCACCGAAGCTTTCTTATTACTGTATTTGAGACAAAGTTTAGTTTTGTAAGGAGAACAATATACATCACCTTAAAATTTGCTCAATTTTCTTTGATTTCATGAGAGTTATGCCTGAGGTATGGAAGAAGAAAAAGACTTACTCATCTAAGATTAAAATATAATAATGTAACTTTAACTTTGTTCCACCCTGCTCTATTCTTGGCATAACAAACATCCTCAGGCACCAATCTCTCTACACAAATGGACATGGCTAAGTTTGATGCTAATTAGGAAAAATTATCCAATTATGGCTACGATTATGCTGAGTTGGTAAAAACATTTTGCCACAGGTAGGAGGAACTTAGAAGGAAACACCCTAATAATTTTATATAAAAAGGCAAAGAAAACTGCTTGGCTTGGGTGCACTCTCACAGCACTGGGTCTCCATTGCTAAATTTTGGTGACTTGCAACATTGTCTGTGACTGATACTATGTCTGTTTGGCTTTCTAGTGGATCCAGGTGGATTTCCTCTCCTGCTGGTGGTGGAGGATCAGTTAAAATGACTGGCATAGGAGGAAGTTTTGATACTGGTAGTGTATGTGGTCTTGGTGGGGGCTCTCATCCAGGATTCAGCACTGGCTTAACCAGGGGAGCAGGTGGTGGCTTCAGTGGTGGCTATGGTGGTGGCTTCGGTAGCATCTCAGCTGGAGGAAGCTATGGAGGTACATTTCATAGTAGTTCATTTGGGGGCTTGAGTACTGGCTTCGGTGGGGGCTTTGGTGGACCTGATAGCAACCTTCTTTCTGGTGGTGAAAAAGAAACCATGCAGAATCTTAATGATCGCTTAGCTAACTACCTTGACAAGGTGCATGCTCTGGAAGAGGCAAATGCTGATCTTGAATACAAAATCCATCAGTGGTATGAGAGACATGGTTCTGTTGCTGCTGAATTAACCCGTGATTACAGCAAATATTACCAAACAATTGAAGATCTTAGGAACCAGGTAATCATAATTTCTATTATTTTCAATGTTATGAACGTTACACACTAATACTACATCATGTTAAGTTGTAACTTATAACAGAGTATACGTTATTAAGTGAAGAATTTTACTCAGTGTAGGTGAATGTTTGCTATTTACTGTAAAGAATACTTAAAACTTTTCACTTTTATGTGTATTAATACCACCAACTGATTTATACACATGCACAAGCCTTGTTTATGAGGTATAATCACGTTATGCAATTTAAATTAAGATAATCATAATAGTTTCTACTCTACAGTTGGGCATGTTCTGATTCTTAATGTCTGCATAGGAAAAATTATTGGTTAAACTAGCAATGAAATATTTCATTTAAAGAAGAAATCATATCTTCCTTTATGCTCATGCAATATACAAACAACAATTTTAGACCCTGAATTTGCCCAGTTTTGTCTCAAAATGAACCAAAAAGGATATTTTGCATAGTTTTCATGTACGTATTGTCTCATTCTCTACATACCTTTCTATCTAGATCATATCTGCAACTATTGGCAATGCCAGCATAGTCTTACAGACTGATAATGCCCAGCTTGCTGCTGAAGACTTCAGACTGAAGTAAGTTAAATAGCAAACATTTTTGGTAATGATGGTTTAGTAACTTCAGGCCATATTGTTCCCTCTGTGCTTAAGAATTCCACAGTGATTTCTGCTAAAGGCACCATATGGTATTCAAAGCACTTTCTCTATAATTTTTTTGACAAAAAAATTTGAAGAACTGTCCCCAGAACCAAGAGCACAACATTAAAGCCACATATACAACTATAATTTTCACTATAGCTATATTCTCATTGAAAAAAATGTTGGGAACTTTTGCCAACCACAAAAAATTATTTTAATATTATAAAAGCCTTTGTCTGCCTGTTTGTCTGTAATGCTTTATTTGCACTCTGATTGGTTGTCTAAAACAACCAATCAGCGTGCTCCAAGAGCATTCTGGACAGGAGACAGCAGTGGCACAGCAGAGTTGGGGGGGGGGGGCAAGGCCAGCAACACTGCCCCCTGCCCCCAGCCCTGCTCCCTGCAGGTTGCAGCAATGGCATGGGGTGGTGGGTGGTGGCACTCCATCCCCCCATCCCCACCACCACCATTCCTGATGGGCAGTTGGATAGTAGAAAGATAAAATCACATTCTGTACAATAAATACCAAATAGATTATTTTCATACCTTCATACCTTCTCTACTGAAACATATATACTAGTGTTGAAATAATTAAAACACTTTCACATTATGTTTTTCTTGCCAGGAAAAAAATGCCTTTTTTTTCCTTTTTTCTCCCCTTCTTTATTTTCTCATATTCTTAATATTTTTAAGGTATGAAAATGAGCTGTTCCTGCATCAGAATGTTAAAGCTGATATCAATGGTTTGCGGAAAGTCCTAGATGACCTGACTATTGCTAGATCCAGCCTGGAAGCACAGCTCAAAAGCCTGACTGAGGAGCTGGTGTATCTTAAGAAGAGCCATGAGGAGGTAAAAGCTTTGCTTTCCTTATGCAAATACCAGCCCAGTCCAACTCTCACTTAAGTCAATAAGGTGTCTTTCTATTGACTTTGATGGGATTTGGATTAGGTCATTACAGTAGTGTAACCTCTAGATAGGGATGCTTGCATTGTAATGTAATAGCTTGACATAGTTATAGTAGCAATAAGTAAATTAAGGTTTAGGACCTTCCAATAAGTAAATTAAGGTTTAGGACCTTGGTTAAAATAAGCAAATGATTCAAAATTTGACTAGTTTATGAACCATTTTTCAAAACAATAATTAATGTGAAGTGGTTTAATTTCTCCCTGTTTCTTCTTTAATTGTACTCAATTTAAAAATCAGAATTAATTAATCAATTAATTAATTATACTTGACTACTCTTTAACCAGGAAATAAAATCCCTGAAAAGTACTTCCACAGGTGATGTGAATGTAGAAATTAATGCTGCTCCAGGAATTGATCTGACGAAACTTCTGAATGACATGAGAGCACAGTACGAATCCCTGGCTGAACAGAATCGTAGAGAGGCTGAAGAACAGTTTAATAAAATGGTAAAAATGTGAAAGATGTCAAATCTTCTTATTGCATATTCAAATCCAAGGATTTGTTTTATCACACTGTATTCACTATATTGTTTATGAATTTTCCAGAGTCAACCACTGCAGCAACAGATCTATGATGATGCTGGGGCAGTAAGCTCAGCCATGAATGAGTTAACTGAAATGAAACGTACTTTCCAAGGACTGGAGATTGAGCTACAAACAGTTATGGCCCAGGTTTGTAACAGGTGTAATTTCAGGAAGCAGGTGCCTGACATTTTTATTTTCATAAAGAACTGTTATAATGCTCAAAACAGCTTTGCTGATTAGTGCTGCATTAAATAAAGACATCTTGCATTTAAAATATAATAACTTACAATACAGAGATCTGTTTTCACAATTCAACTGTATTTAACACACCCCTGGATAAACTTAACTCCTTAATGAAGTACTAATGCCTGTAAATATGGGAAATAATGGCTTTGAATGTATGGAAATTAAAATAAACTAAGTTATTTCAAATACTGTCCAAAATAATTCATAAAATTGATATCAACCAACTCAAAGGAGACTTTATGTTGCAAGATGTCACCCTCATTCCTTGCCACCCTCATTCCTTGCCTGCAACTTTAATTTATGTCAATAGGATTTTTCTGGCAGAGTGTATATCAATCAAATGGGAAAAGCATATAGGGATAAAGTAAGATAAGAAAGAAGAGAAAACTATGAAGAAATATTTGTAAACTAATAGTCAGTAAAGATAATGTATTTTGGAATCTGATTAAGTGTCATAATCAGAAGAAAACATTTATTCTGTATCTCGGGCTTAACTAACTTTAACCTTCATTTGATACTCAGTGGAGCATTTAACCTTCATCAATAACACGTCATTTTTATTCACTGATAGAAATGCTCCCTTGAAGGCACCTTGGCAGGAACTGAAGGAAATTACAGTGCTCAGCTTTCACAAATACAGCTGCATATTAGCAATCTGGAGGAACAATTACAGCAGATCAGGTCTGAAATGGAGTGTCAGAATGCTGAATATGAACAGCTCCTGGGCATCAAAACACGTTTAGAGATGGAGATTGAAACCTACAGACGCCTGCTAGATGGGGAAGGAGGGTAAGCAAACAAAATTATATGAATGCATCTTGAAAAGTGGAGCACCATAAATAATAAATATTACCATACCTTTATTCCAGGTTTTGTTCCTATAAAGAGAAATCTTGTAACATGCTAACCAGTCCATTAGGATGTGTCTACATGTGCTATTAATGCTATAGAGCAGGGGCAGGCAATTATTTTGGTTGGAGGGCCCCTTAACGAGTTTTGGTGTGCTGTCAAGGGCCGCAAGAGTGGCCCTGGCCCTGGATCTTGACAAGCACCCTGCTCCCTGGTCACCATCCTGGGACCAGAAATCCTACCCCCTAGCCTCTGACCTTTGCCATCAGAAGTCCCTCCTCTTGCCCCTGGAATAACTCCTTTTGGGAAGGGGGTTTGCCATCTTGGAACCAGAAAAAAACCAACCAAATCATATACTAAAAATCCAAGATCCATAATAACATGTTTAAATTTTATTTTTTATAAATAATTTTGCCATGATTTGTGTGTGTTTGCATTGTGTATATAGAGGTGATTGCATACTAGCTCAAAATGAAGTCTTACTCTTGTATATTGTAGGAGGGGTAAGGGATTTGTGGGGGGCTGTGGGTGTGTGTATGTGCATGTATGCTGCATGTGGGAGTATGTGTGGATGTGGGTACATGCATGGGTATGGGGGGGTCGTGTGAGTGGGTATGGAGTGTTTGTGTGGGGGGTGTAGTGGGGGGGTGTAGCAGTGAGTGGGGCTCCCCCCAAAGGCACACAGGTAGGTGTGTGAGGGGTGTGGAGTGTGGCAGGTGCAGAGATCCCACCTCAGGAAAACAGCTGGGTATTCATATCCCACCGCTATTTCCACCACGTGAGGCGGGCCAGTAGGGG